AAATTGAAAAAGCTAAAGCTCTAAACATTCTTAGAAACAGTGAACAGTACATATATGTAAACTTTTTAAAATGTGAAGTATATTGTGTATATATATTTATATGCAATATATTGTATATGTGCAGTCAGTCAAATTGTAACAATTCTATGGAAAAAAACAGGAAAAATTAAAAATTTTTAAAAAGAGATGAGGTCGAAGACAGTGGGACAAAAAGAAACAAAGGAAACAAAAAGATATGTATGTCTCGTTTCAGCTGTTTTAACAGCATCCCACATACGGCCAGCTTTAATGATTGCTGGATGTCCATTCATTTACCCATATTAGAAATATCGTCCTCCCCTTCACTGCCACCTGAGCCACCATCATCACTTGTCTAGTTGTTTCAATAGCTTCCTAAGGTCGCCTTACTTTCCCTCGCACCCTCTTAGAATCTATTCTTAGCACAGCAGCTGAACAGGTAAGATTGTGGCTGTTAGCCATTCAGAACCCTCCCATGGTTCCCTTTCTTACTCAGATTAAAAAGCAAAGACTCAGATGTGGCCTCCGAGACCTCACGGGACGCGGCTGCCAGCAGCATCTCCGCCTGACAACCTCAGCATCACCACTCTCGCTCCCCCGTCTGCTCTTTGTACCCGCCCAGCTCTCTCTGGCCTTCGGAACAGTTCCTGACTGTACTCTCTTTAGACGCATCACCAAACTGGATGTCACGCTCTCAAAGAACCCCGTCTCCAGCATCCAGTATACATTTGTGACAGCCACCTCCTACCCTGCTACACTTTTCTCCCTGCCACTCATGTCCTTCTAATATACGAGCAAATTCACTTCTGGGGGGATGGGGGGAAATCATCCATGGTTTCTCTTTCACCATAAAATATAAACGTCTTTTTAGCAGGCATTTTTGCAATGTTATTTGTTTCGACATGTTCACAACTTTGAAAAGTGCACATAATAAGCACCCAATTATGTATTTATTGAATGAATGAGTGATTTGTTCGAACTCAGATTAACTGTTTTAGCCCATGGATGCATATTTCACGTTGGCCATTCCCCAGATCACAAGAGGACCAGCAGGGGCGGAGACCGTTACATAGAGACGGTTGCCACTGAGCTTTCAGTGTGATATATTTGGAAATGTTTTGATGCCTTAAAGAAATGAGAGTTTATAAATAAAACATCAGCTCTAAAAGTTCATGAAATATCAAAAAGCTCCCAACTAGTTCTCTGAACAAGCTATGTGTCCAGATAGCTTTCAGACCAGGGCAGACACGCTGCTGGCGCCCTCACAGAGCTTCAGACTGTCATCAGTGAGGGCAACACCTGTCAGGTTCCGATGCAATGACCACCCCAAATTTCCATGTGGAATACCACAATAACTCACGAGGAGAAAATTTAAGCTATTTATAAAAATTTAAACTATTTTATAAAGGAAAGTATATTGGGAACCCAAACACAACTCCATGGATTAATTTCATGATATTCAGGCTTTCCTGAGGGGGAAAAAATGTCTCAGACACTATACACGTTCATCAAAGAGTCGCAGAAGCAACCTTCAGGGAAACACCCATCTGAAATATTCTTAAACCATATCTGAAATTAAAATAAGGCCATTATATCATACTAATATAAGCAGATATAGAACCTTAAGATTCTCTCTATGAAAAAGGAACATCAAATACGCCTTATACCTGAATTTAGCTCAGCATAATCTAGTTGTTCCATTTTATTTTAATATTGAAGGACAGTAGGGCCCAGACTTTGAACTTATATCTTTAAAGCATCCGTGCTTTAATTTGACGGCCATCTGTATTCTAGGACCTTGTTCCTTCCGGGATCTGGCACTGAGTGAAAGTAATCTAGCTCTGAAACTCCTTCACACTTCAAAGAAAGTCCTGTGCTCAGATGAGCACCGCAGTGGAAGGAATGCGACGAGAAACAGCCCATAAAAGCACATAAATTCTTTGATAACCCAAAGCCTTTTGTGTCTCTCCTCCCATCTGTCTATAAAATAATCTTAGCAATTTAAACAAAAGCAGTCAAAAGAAACAGAGATAAGATTTATCCATTCCATCCGTCAGTATCCATTTTAATGAACTTGATACTCAAGTTATAATTCCTGCCAATAAGAGTTTGCAATTGAAAAAATTAGAGGCTGATTTTCACCTAGAGCGATCACAGCAAGAAGCAAGGAGGAAGAGGAAGAAACTGTGGCAAAGAACAGCGTGTCGCAAAAGAAACTAATTTTGCAGAAGCTATCATAAATTTTAGCCATGATAAGAAACCTTTTTTCTTCTGTTCGAAGGAACCGATAAAAATGGAAAAAGTCATCATCATTCTTCATTTTTTCATACATGTTCATATTTATCATGCATTTCAGAAAGCTTGCATTTTATGAGCTTGGAAATAAAGAAGATAAACTGAAAAAATTAAGCAAACGCTAAGCATTCTTCAATATTGGGGGAAGTGAGCTGGGGAGGAACAGATCTTCAATAGACTTGATTTTAGGATAAAAAGGTCCTGACTTTAACAGAGAACCCTCGGGGCTCACCCTCTTCCGATTTTCCAAAAACAGGAGAAAACATGAAATAGCAGAGTGAACTACAAACAGAAATGACCTGACGAAGCCCATGGAGTGAAGCCACTTCTCAGAAAGGTACACAATAATTGCAGCGTAAGCAGCGTGGTTTAAGAGATGCCTGTCAGTAAATTCAGGGAACACTGATGTTTTAGATCACCAGGTTTTTTTCAATATGCCACAAATGAATTCCATAATCACACGTATGTACTGAAAAGACAACCACCAACTCATTTTACCTCAATAAACACGATTTCCAAATTTAGAATTAAGGAAAAAGTTAGATTTCCTCCAACCCATTTGCTTCGAAGCTGAAAATACAGGGACTTACTAATCTCTAAAAATACATTTTATAATGACCCCAATATTATATAAACTGATCATTCTAATCATTATTCCACAATGATGATTTCTTTCAGGAGAATTAATAAATCAGGCTAAAAAAGATCATTAATATGAGTTATTGCTTTGTAGCAATAAATCTCAGTAATAAAGAACATGGCTTCAAGAATCAGTAGACTTAAATCAAAATAAACGTCAGCTCTGCCAGTATCAAAAATGTGACCCAGGCAAGTTATTCACAGAACTACAGCTTCTTGGTGTCTAAAAAGGAGGAAATAATATTACCAAATCTCATATGGTCATAAAAAAAATTAACTGGCATGGTCCCTTTTAATTAAATTTTAACTAGTTTGTGTAATTGCTAAGACAGTCCTCCACTCCCAGAAAGTAGCTGATGTCTGTTACTATAATTATCATTACTATTTATATATCTGTTCCTATAATTGTCATTCCTGGTGTCACTGTTCAATGATAAAGCCAGTCTTCTTGCATCTCCACATACACTCCACTGGGGTCATCCTCTGTATATCTGGTCACATTGTTTACCATTTCTGAAATGCCAATTGCTTTCCTCTTCATTAAGCTAAACCCTAAACATTTCCGACAGGCCTGACATTTTTGATAATTTCTCTCACTAACCAGATCCCATAATAATATTTCTGTTATACTGAATTCAGTGAACTGTTACATATGATCTGTATTACACTATATTAATCATATGGCCTGATACTTGTTTTCTAGATTTACTGCATGTTTAATAGCTGTTGCTCCTCCACATTATGTATATGTTTTCCTGCTGAATAAAATTTATTTTTTAAGACAAAGGACTATCTCTTATTTTCCTTAGAAATAAAACATACATCCCCCAGAAGCCACTATAGTGGTGGGCATACAGTAGGTGCTTAATACATGCTTTCTCAGTTGAATTGTATTATGACTCATTAACAAGATCACGAGGGTTGGTTTCATCTTTCCCATCATCAGTTCACCACCCAAAGAGTGACAGAGCTGAACACAATCCCCATGGAACCTGGAAACTCTAAAACTGTGTTACTTCACTGCACTGAACTGAAAATCCCAGTTCCCTCCTAATACAGGCACTTTCATTACTTTATTTTATATTTTATTTGTATACCAATGACTGAATTCTGGGCATATAAGCTCCACATTCTAAATTATTTGAGAACATTTGGAAAGCCAGCATGTTCCAGAAAAGCGGTGCCTTCCACCCGGAGAAATGAACGCTGTGGGTCACTCCTTCAAATGATCCTCTTCTCACATTAAAATAGATGCTTTAGTTCACATGCTCACTCAGCGGGTTGCTTCAGACCATTTAAAAGTCAGTATTTCTCCTCTCTTAATTCTATTTCCTTATACCCAGCCTGCCCACCCTTTCTGTATTCCATAATCAGTACATATTTAGGGCTCATAATAAATCAAATCATTTTCACGTATAAAGGTAATTTCTATTCCCTTTTGCTCTACATGTATATAGCTAAATCCATACTGAATTAGCTTAAAGTATACAGACAGCAATAAAGAAATCAGCCTGCTAGAAGGGGAAGAAAATTAGTAACAATAAATAAATGCCAGCAAAGGAACTAGAAAGTTTTCAGATTGACTTGGCAATAATATGCGTATATGCTAGTATTCCATTTTTACACTAATTCTGTCTACCATTCTCTCGGTATAGGGTATTTTCTTGGATAATAAAGTCCACATTATTAAATAATCAGAAACGCATCATATTCCCAAATCTCACCTAACTGCTCTAAATTCCGCCTTTGGGATCAATAATGTAATTTATATTATATCTGGGGGAAAATGCTCTTGGACCCAGAGATAAAAGACGTTACCATAAGAGGATTTGTAAAATCAAAGTTTTATGGAAAAATGCAGAGTTTTAGACAGATTATACTTCATCCGCACATTCAAATATGCCAAATCCTAGACCCGTTTGCACTTTGCCTATCTCCTTGTAGGAGCAGAATGAGTATCATAATTATTGATTTTTCCCCTGAAAAAAAGATTTTCCATATTTCAAAATAAGCATGCACCATGCAGCGTGCAAAAAAAAAAAAGATACCTTGGGTTTCTTATTTTCAGGGCCTGTCGACATGGACATTGCACAAGGTGAAATCAGCTCCTTGGTTCTTGTTAGAGAGATGGGAGGTGATGGGGTTGAAACAGATGACCTGTGGTCAGAGATTGAGCTTTCAGATTTCCCAAGTCTTGAAGGCAAGGTAAGAGTTGGGTGCTGCGCTGAGGGGCTGAGCCGGCGCGCCTGCGTGGGCTGACTAGCACTGGACCCCAGGTGGGGAAGAGACGCAGCCGCGCCAGCGCTGGACACGGGGGCTGGAGGAGGGGCTGGAGGAGGGTGCCCCTGGCCAGACGGCTGTGCTGAGGGCCTCTGGGATCTGTTTATCAGGTCTGAAAGAGCGGGGGAAGGATGGTAGCATTTCTCTGGAGAGGAGAGCCTGGCTCTCTGGTTAGTGGGAGGGGATACAGAAGACGATGCAGAGGAGGGTGACGGAGAAGGATGTGGGCCCCTGAGGTCAGCATCCTGTCTGCCCTTGGAAGACAGAGGAGGGAGGCTTGGTGGAACGGGAGGCAGACCTGCAGGACTGGAGGGGCCGGTCTGCAGCGGGGAACACATCGGACCGCCCTTCAAAGAAGTGGGCGACGGCGCTTTCTCAACATTCAGAGAAACAAGGTTGCCACTGCCGTGCCTTGTGGGAGAGAGGGAGGGCGCCCGTGGGAGGCGAGCTGCTTTGGTGGAAAAGGCCAAGTGTTGGCTGAGTTCAGGAACCCGGTTCTCCTGTTGCTCTGGAGACCTGGCTCTTAGGGAGCAACTCGAGAGAGATTTTTTCGGCGTGGATGGAGTCTGTTTTACTTTCTGATCGAGTGTGAGTGTGGAAGAAGCCAAGGAGTTGAGAGCGAAAGTGGGACAGGAGGCCGGGGAGAGGGGTCTCTGGTGAGAAGGGTTGGACTTGAGGATGGCGGTGAGGAGGGAAAGCCGGGAGGGCAGCGGGGACTTCACCCCTGACTTGGAGAGGCTCCCGCTCGATGACACGCGGCTGCAGACGGCGGAGGAAGAGCCGTGGGAAGGGAGGGGGAAGGGTCTGGGGCTCGGACAGAGTGAACGCGTGACAATGCGCACGGGGATGTACGAGGCTGAATTCGGCTTCGGAGAAGCACCCGAGGGCGGCGGAGGAGAGGAGGTTCTCGGACTCCCTCTGGGACTACGGACGTGCGAGGTGACCGTCGCCGTCGTCTTCTCGAGGCCTTCGGATGTCAGTCCAGGTTTCGGATGGGCTGCCCTTGCACTGGATAAATGAGAACCTGGTAACTGAGCGGGATGGGGAAACCGCGGCGTCGAGGACGTGCCCTCCGATGCAAAAAAGGGTGCAGAGTGAGCGGAGGTTTGGAAGTACGTAGCCGTTTCCTCCACCAGGGCCCCACCGACATCCAGCCTCCTCGTGTGGAACTCCTCCAGGACAGAGGCTCCGGCGAGGTCGACTGGGTCAGGTGGCGGTTTCTGATTAGTTGGAGAAACAAAGGAGAAAGCAGGTGGTTTACAGGCAAGCTGCTCAGAGGCAATGGGAGGAGAAGTTAACTAGAGGAAAGAGAAATAGACATTGTAATAGGACGTGGTCTGTGAAACTGTCAAAACATTCTTGTCACGTGTCACGTGAGTGTTTAGCGGAGTCGTTCTGTGAGTTGACACAAAAGGAGGCGCTTAAACCTCGAAGAAAATGGAAGCAATGCTGCTTTGCTAATGAGGCATTGCTTTGACTTTGAAATAAAATATAAATAAACTGTGAATTATTCGATATTATAGCTCATGTATCCTCCAGAATGAACATCAATATGAAATTGTATTTGCGTGTCTCCATTTGGAAAGTAACGCATTGATAAAAGCTAAAAGAGTTCTTTTAACTGAGGACTGAGCGATTTGAAAAGGTTTAAATCACCATCGATATATATTTCAAAATTCACTTCGGAAAATGAAGTGGGTTTTCTTCCGTTGTAGGAATCTAAGCCATAACATGATAGTCATGACTACAATCCTTAAAAATTTAACACTTCAAGTGTTTAAAATTCAAAAAAAACTTGGACCACTCTTACATATTGTAAGCCTGAAAATAATGCCCAGGATTCAAAGATGCAGCACCCAACACCAACATGCAGTGATAAATTAAGAGAGTAAAAGCCAGGGTCGAAATAGAGAGGGAGTTTTAGCTTATGAAAAATATTTTCCCTAATGACTTGCCGGAATGAACAGTTAACAAATGAGGTGGGTTATGCCAGGAGGAACAGCAAAGGAAGCTTAGAGTACCCTGTAATCTGCCTGAAACAATGCAATCCACAAATCCCACATCAAATAAAAAGAAAATAAAGAAATAATGTATCACTTTCAAGAGAGACGAGGGAGAGCCTGCAAAATGACTGGGTATCTTTATTCTTGTGCTATTTTCTACATCATCCAGTACTTTAAGACAAGTACTGAAATTATAAATGATTCTAAAGCCAAACCTTTAAAACAGAGGTTTCCCTTAAAGTATTGATTTGATTCTATCAATCCATAAAAGAAAGAAAAATACTTGTATCTAATAAAGAATTCAAGGAATATCAGTTATTCAAAATATTAATGAGTATCTGTATATGTATATATAATATATAATAATATTATACATATATTGCATTACATAGCAGAAATGTATGACCGTAACGATTAAACTTAGCAAAAGCTTGGTTTACAAACTCAGTAAAAGATATTTCTTGATTTTGCTCTGTAACATGTTAAGAAAGTGTCCATCAGACCTAATGCAAAGATTTTAATATCATACACACAGTTTTGAGTTCTAAAAATGTTTAAAACTTGATCAACTCAAACAACTCACCCCAAACTCTTGTTTCTGAGCAAATGTACCCAAAAATCTTCCTTTCTTTTTATATGTAAATATATTTGTGTGTTTGCAACACAGAATTCTTGCCACATAAATAATTTTTGAATAATTTTGGCATGTGACTAGAATATCTGAAAATCAGAGATAATTGAAAATCAAGCAGAATTCAATCAAATTGAGAAAGAAAACAACTGCCTCACCTAAGTTTTACTTGGAAACAGTTCTGCTTATTCAGTGTTTATAAAACTGACTCATGATTAAGCCATAAATAAAAGGTCTTCTCTATTGTTTCCAAAGATTGGTCTCTCCTCACAGAAAGAATGAATAAATTTCAAGACTGTGTAGCATCTCTTTGCATGTTATGCCATAGCTTTTGGTTTTAAAAACAAAAATGTAAATTAGTAACAGCCACAAAAATTTCATTATCTTTTCAGTCATGTTTCCAAATAACTTCAACTTATATAATAAACTCATTAATTCATTCTGATTATCCACCAAAGTAGCATGTGAAAGTTACAGGACTGTAATTGTGAGGGTCTCATTCAGAGGAAAAGACAGTTGTCTCCAACTTCCTCAAGACCATGGCTTTTAATCACCAAACATTCTATTACAGGAAGTCATATATTGCCTAATGCAAGTACCTCTGAATTTTATTGTATTTTTTACAGTTGATTATTGAAGAATTTCTAAGAAAATTCAAAGAGAAAGATTCTGAAAAATCTAAGAACGGTTTTGTACTATATTTCCCTATTCAATGTATTCATACGCCTTTGCAATATATTTGTTTCCAATTTGCAAATACATCCTGACATTATCTTAATTTATACTAATATAAAAATGAGGCACTGTATTTTAATAAAATTCCCAGGAGCGAGAAATGCATTTTTTAATGAAAAAGATTCATTTTCCTGATTTTCCCTCATTAATAAGCTTTTATTTTGAAAGAGGGGGTAAAGACAGGAATAATTTTATGCAGAAAGAAAGAATGGGTACCTATTAAATGCTCAGTCAAGTAGCTCAAAATAGGCCCTTCTTTTTCTCTCTTTCCTGTAAATCCCTTACTAGTGATAACAAACTTCTCTAATGACATCTACAAATTCTTTCAGTCCCTTCATCCTCTCCTCCTAATCACCCCTGTTCTGGTCTCTGTGTTTGTTATTGATGCTCTAATTTCTTCTCTCTCAAGCCTGTTCTCTTTCTTCTCCACCATTTCTTTCTATTTTTTTTTAATTGAAGGATAATCTGTTCACGATGTTCTAATTTCAGGTGTACAGCATAGTGATTCAGTTCTACATGTATAAATATTCCTTTTCATATTCTTTTTCATTACAGGCTATTACTAGGTACTGAATTTAGTTCCCTGTGCTGCCCAAGGCCACCAGCTGAGTGGGGCTGAACTTTCTGCACTGGGGAGAGGGGCTACCTTTCTCGAATTCACATGTGGCCTGGGTCAGGCGCTGTACATGGTGTCATCATAAATTTAAGACCTGTAGTCTCAGCTGGGCCCTGTACCACTCAGATTTTTGGTGGGTTGTTTGGGGTTTTTCTTTTTCTTTTCCTATGTCTTCATCTCAGCTTCCTGTCCTGTTCTGAACAACAGTTCTTCCCCAAAGTTAACACTCTCCACAAACCCTTTTCCCGGCACCTCCCTCATTGTAGTCAACAGATACTCCACGTTCCCTTTCTCCAAGGAAAATTGAGAGTACTAGGAAAATTAAAATTTTCTAGATCTATCCTCATTCTTTTCCTTTGTTCCAAAGAAAAATGAAGAATTTTCCCTTTTTAAATGTACGTTCCCCTCTGTGCTCTGGATCACAGCAGCCCGTGCCTTCTCAGGGATCCCCTTTCATAGTTTTCCCCCATCCTTTATCTTTTTTACTAGTTCTCTCATCCTAACATAAATATAAAGCATAATACTTCCAATCTTTAAAAGGACAATAATATCATGTAGTAGATTCTAAAAATGCGCACGTTTATCTACCCTTTTCATAAGAAAGGCAAAGTTATTTTCCTCACCCTTTAAGCTCAACTGGCCCCATAACTTGTTTGGACCAGTGGGATGTTAGCAAATGTGATCCAAGAAGCAGTGGTTTGAGTGGCACTTGTGCCTTGGAGCTTACCAAGTGCAGAACGCTGCCATGATGTGAATGAGCCCAGGCTAGTCTGCTGGAGGACCACATCTTGGCTAACCAGCCACCATCTGACCCAGCAGCCAACTGCAGACACATAAGTGAACCACAACAAAGACAGCTGAGTCTGACTCCAGATCTGCAGAACCACCCAGCTAAATACGGCCACACTGTCGACCTGCAGATTTTTGAGCTAAATAAATAAATGGTGGTGTTTGAAAACAGCAAATGTCAGCACGGTCTATTAAGCAGCAAAAGCTAACTGATAAGAAAAAAACGAGTGCACACACGTGCACCAAGATCTGTGGAGCCTGTCCGTGCCCTAGTACAAGTCCACGTAGCTGTCTTTTCAGGCTCGCTTGTGCCACACCATCACTGTGTAGATTTCCTTACTTCTATGGCCAACACACCCTAAAGTGACTTCCCAAAGCACACCCCCACCTTCATAGTCCCCTCCTCTTAAGTGTAGATGGAAACTGTGACTTGCTTCTAACTAACAGAACCTGGCAAAGGTGAAGGAATTTTGCAGATGTATTTACCATTCCTAATCAGATGACTTTAACTTAATCAAACAGGAGACTGTGCTGGGTAGGCATGACCACATCAAATGAGCCCTCTTTTAAAGAGGACCAAAAGGCTAGAGATCCAAGTAGCAGCGACCCTCTCCATGGCCAGCCTTAAGAAGCAAGCTGCCGTGAACTCACTCTACAGCCTTGAGGAAATGAGCTTCTGCCAATAGCACGGGTGAGCTCAGAGGCAAGACCGTTGCCTAGTAGAACCCCAGAGGAGAGGAACCTGACATCTTGGTTTCCAACTTAGGAGACCCAGATCAGCCATGCCCAAACCTCCGAGCTACAGAATCCCTGGGGAAAGTAAATAGGTGTTTTTTTTTTAAAGCCACTAATCTGTGGTCACCTGTTATGTGGAAATAGAATAGTGACACACTTCCCCTGAGTTCTTAATGGCTTTTACTCCCTATTCTTCCACAGACACTGTTATCACCAACGTCTACAATGATTTATTTATTCCTAAGCCCAGTGGGCACTTGAATCCCTGGTCTCTTCTGGTTTCTCTTTAGACTGATTTCCAGTCTTTCCCTCCTTTTCAAAACTGTTGTCTCTGTGGCCTCTGGTTCATCCCTCTCTCCCAGAGTATTTCCTGTCATTCAGTGAGCCCTCTTCCCTGGCCATCTGACTTGAAATGCCCACACCCTGGTTGTTAACTGAGAAAACCTTTACTCATCCTTCATGTTTCTGCTCAGACAAGGTGACCCCTTCCTGGTCTGGTGGTCCAGGCCGATGTAGGTGTCCTCCTCCTAGACATCCCACTCCTGCTTGAACACATCACCTTTCACTGTCATTGCGTTCATGTGCATCTGCTTCCCAAGTTCCTTGAAGGCAGGTACTAGAATTTTTGAAGTTTGTTTCCCCAGTGTCTAGTGGCTGGTATGTTACCTTCATGCAGGAATGAGGAAATAAAGTGTCCGGTGGGTGTAGGAATAGGACAGAGAGCAGAAATGTGCTGTCTGCTCAAAGGAGCTCTCACCACCTCCCTCTGCAGTTGCACCCTCTTATTCT